AATCAAAGAAATCACTCTCATCAACTGCTACTCGCCAACTTGTACGGTTAATGACAGCGAACTAGATGCGTTTTGCAACCAGTGAGAAAAAATAATCCGCAATGAGAAGTGCTATAAAATTGTTCTTTGAGACCGGAATGCCAGATAAGAACGCTCAATGAAAATGGATATAGGATAGGGAAATTCGGAATAGGAGAACGAGGTTTTGAGAACAGAAAATTGCCGGTGGTTATGAGAGTCTCCTAACGGCACGACTCATTCAGAGATCGGTCATATTCTCACGAACGGAAAGTGGTGTCTCTTTGGCAGTGGGACCCTGATTCTGTACTGGATCTGATCACCGCCATCTCCGTGAGAAAATTCTAGCTCTAGCCTGCAGAAGAACTGTCATCGTTCATCGCCCACGGAAAAAGAAACAGGTATATGACAAGGATATTCTCAATAAGATGCCTTTCCTTCATGACAGACAGATAAAAGACGACCAGATCGAGGATTACAAGCTGCTTGTCGAAGGACTTAAAACTTATGCCGAACTGCCTCAGCTCCTCAACAAGAAGTTCATACCGCAATTTCATTACCAAAAGTTCCTCGAGAAGAGAAGGAGGCTGAAGGCTGGTCCTGCTAACACACCTAACAATGCTGATAATAAATGCCAGCTGTAGAAGATCCTTGTAGGAGGATTTACATAGGTACAAGCAGAAAAGGTTATTGGAAGCAGCTCAAAAGCGACCTGGTCTAAAAAAGGGTCATCGTGATCGTTGCTTTCCGCTACCGACCCTGATGAGCGATGATGGGAGTATCGCTACATCCCGCCATAATATGGGATTGGTAATGGAACAGTTCTATATCAGTCTTTTCCGCTACATAACCCCAGAATCCCTGCTGGTGTAAGGCCGCACGGGTATAGTAACTATTCCCAGAATAGCTCCTGTTTTCTGTATTATCGCATGTTTCCTATACATATTGGCCACATTTACAGTAACCACATTTATCCTTGCACTCTGTGCAAATCGCTATCTGATAACCAGTAGAAGTGTTCCGTTTTCTTTTTCAGCAATTGCGAGGTTGTTATTCAGCACGCGTTTACTTCTATACAAATAGAACATATACAACACAACCGTCGTTGACGTTTCGGCAGAATCACCTTCATCAGAGCCTGGAAGAGTACACTATTACACAACCTACTAGGTCAAACGCTTCAACAGCACAAACCAAAAGATGAAAATTTGAACGGTAGTTGCAGGATCAACGGCTAAGATGAGGATCCCGTGCGAGGATAAGGACTTTCATATCAAAATCGTCTCCGCTATGCTTTTCTATCCTATGGGTCCCTAGTGGCGTACCGTACCTCACTTTTCGTATCCCATCTAGGTAACGGATGCATAATGTTTTGCCCGTTTTACCAATATATTCATCTCCGCAATTGTTACAAGAGACAAGATTTTCATCTTTCTGTTTGTGCTGTTGAAGCGTTTGACCTAGTAGGTTGTGTAATAGTGTACTCTTCCAGGCTCTGATGAAGGTGATTCTGCCGAAACGTCAGCGACGGTTGTGTTGTATATGTTCTATTTGTTCTATTTGTATGGAAGTAAACGCGTGCTGAATAACAACCTCGCGATTGCCGAAAAAGGGAACGAAACATTTATAATCCAATGCCCAGGTTAATAGAAAGTCGATCCTGGGAACTATTCTGTGGAAACTTTGAATCGCTTTCTGATGAACTTTCTGTCAACTTAGCTCCTTGCGTACCGTTTTATCTGTAATTTTTCACATGTACTATATTTTTGTTCAGAACAGTTGTATCAGATTATGCTAACTAAGAAACATTCTAGAATCTTCTCCTGAGCATGAACAGAGTTTATTCGATAAACCTCGCCTATTGTAAAGAGAATATAAGTAACGTTATGAGTCAATCCAGCTAGAGTTTTGCCCAATCTCGTTCCTCCTTCGCTAAGTCTCAATTAACACGCTCAGATGGTATTCCTCACCGTTTTGAATGTCGGCAGATTGTTAATATTGTTTTACAATTCTACTGTGTTATATTGTATTACCATTCTTATAAACGATTATGACCCGAGCTTGAGGCCGTGCTTTGTGGCCACGTCAAAAAGCTCCGCATGGCAAATTCGTACAAAGTAGAGCATTCTACTTACTTCGAGCTGGCAATTATTCGCTACCGAAAACCGGTTTGAAGACATATATTCCACTTGACAACTAATACACCAGGATTCTACTCTCTGAAGTTCGAGTTACTACAGAAAGCATTAGAACAGGTACAGCTCCTGAATCTGGTAATATCACCGTCGATTTCCTTAGAACTGAAGACCACAAAATACATGTACTTCTCGCAAATCACGTGACATCTTACCTCCACCTATATCACATGTATCGTGTCAGCTGTCGCTCCTTTAATTGTCGAGTAACTCGGGAGGGCTCCAGTAACTCTTCCATTTTTCCATATCACATGCAAGGGTATCCCAGTGAGTTCTGCTCGCTCTTAGGACTCGTTGAACATCATAGCTTTTTTCCAGGCTTTTCGTTAAGAACTCCGACAATCGAATCGGTGGTCCTCTTGCAGTGCGCTTAACATCACGAGGAATCCAATAACTAACGGTTTTTGTCCATCGGTTGCGTTCATGGGCATTACGTGTCCAATCTACCTTATTTTCGAAGTTTTGGTGTATAGAACGGCATTTTTGATTTTTGATCGTTGACGCAGGTCGGAGCTTTTGCATGGTACGGGATACTCTAAGCATCGTCCTTTCGTTTGCGCGTCCAATAACGCTGGGTGATTTTTCATCCTGTTTACGCAGCGAGCAGGTTTCTGAAGCATACGTTAAGATAGGAAGTATCGTGGACTCGAAAAGGTGAGCACTGAGTCGGGTGTTTTTTACGCTCTTCACTACATCCTCACTTCTCTTGAAAGCTCCCCAAACAGCTCGTTTCCTTCTGCTCAACTCTGAAGCCAAGTGGTTCATCATGTTGATTTCCCAACCTAGATAGATGTAACTGGAGCATTCGGAGATGTTCGTTCTTTTGCGCGTGAATGGGGCATGCGAAACCAATCCGTTTCTCATGAACATCGTTTTCGTGAGATTTAGTCGAAGACCAATTTATTTACATGCTTTATCAAAGTCGGCAAGCATTTGTTCAACTTGGCTAACGTTTTTGTTACAAAAACGACGTCATCAGCAAAGCGAAGATGGTGTAATTGCCGACCATCGATTTTCACTCCCATATTGTCTCATTCCAGTGTTCTCATGGCGTTCTCGAGGGTGTCTGTAAATAATTTTTGGCGAGATGGTATCGCCTTGTCTAATCCTTTTTTTGAGGTCGATGTTGATATCGTTGTAGATATCCTACCTTCAGAAATAGATAATCCCAGACAAATGCAGGACTTTGCGCATGGACGTTCTATCTAAGAAAAGTGACCGAAGGACTTCGTAATTATCCTCCAATGTGTTTATTGAGTGCACTTTACAAATTCTTCACGAAGGCTATCCTGTAGCGCATATTAAGGGCATTGGATGAGACACAACCACTTGAGCAAACAGAATTTCGACAGGAATTTTGCTGTATGGATCACATTCGCACCGTGTCTCGGGTTATAGAAGTCTGTAGGGTATATCACCTCTAGTGCTGACTTTTTAACTATAAAAAACCATTTCACAGCATCGAAATGGATGGAATCCGATCAGCCATCGGCGACCAAGGAGTGAACTCGTCTTATGCACGAACACCACCTAGAGACTATAGCACAAGGATAAAGCTTTTCTCACCGACCTCTTACTATATGCACAGGAAAAGGGATTTTGCAAGGCGACAAAATATCGCCAAAGCTGTTTAGTGCCACACTGCAGTGGATAACGAAGTCACTCGATGGCGACAACAGCAGCATACACAGTGATGGAAAATTCTCGTAAATCTTCGTTTCGCTGGCTCGTCGTCTTTTCGAGGAGCACCAGTGAAGCAGAGGACGTGCTCAGTGAACTCAACGAAACGAGAAAAAAGATCGGACTGTACATAAAAGGAAGAAGAGCCAGTTCGTGAATAACCTATGGTGAGAAGGAGAAGAAATCGAAATGGATGGTTTTCTGATTGCAAAAACCACCTCGTACGTGTTCCTTGGGCGTTCGCTGAACGTGGAGAATAACATTAAGGAGGAATTCTTCCTTATTTTTTTTTCTTTTGTTAGATCCGTCTTCACGTCTGCTGTGTGGGTTGCAGCACTTCTCACATTCGATCCGTTTCCTCGCTTCCATCGTGACAAAAGTTTTCCAAGATTTTACGTGTGGCTTCGGTTGCTGCTTGAAGATTTTCATTTCATTTTGGATGTCGTAGAATGCTAGTCGAGCAATTCTTCCTAGAGTCCTGGGAAAGCCAGGCTGGAGCGTTCGCTAATGGATTGCACAGAGTGATTTTTTCCCAGAGAAGTCCGGCACCAATTTCCCGACCTCAGAGGGATGAGGGGCCTGGTTATCTCGGAGTGAAATCGAACTAGCACCATGCTCATGATGACGGACATCACTACCACTGTGCTATCCACCCCTTTAGGGAGAAATGAAACTGAACGAATAGAACAACTAAGGTCGCACTCCGGCCACTCAAAAAAGTGGCCGACCAACTAATGGACCGAGAACTCTGGGTTCACCTTTTCGATTCGACAGTCCTCCGAGCACTAGGTTATGCAGCGAGGATGTGGGCTGATACTTTTAACTACGTTAAGAAATCTGCGCACGACTCATAGGGAGCTTGAAGGATTTCTTCTGAAATTAACCAGCACTCACAACGACCGGCATGAACGAGCAGCTAAGATTTTCGATATCTGTGAGTTCTTCACGGCTACCAAAAGAATTTACATGGACAGCGAAACACAGACAGTCCGGCCGCGTAGTATGAAAAACAAATAACGGATGGACGAAAAGAACAGTGGATTGGACCCATGAGGATCCAAGTGCCCTCTGGAAGACCATTGAAACGATGGCCGAACATGTTTGTGGTTAACGTCGACCATCTGCATTCACAAATGCGAATGCGTTTAGGAATTCGGAATGAGCCTCGTGGAAGTCATCGTGTTCGGAGCAGACCACCACTATGAACAATTTCGCAAGAGAGAAACGAATGGAAGTTGTGTTGGCGCCAATGCGACCCAGCGGAGGTGTGCCATACAAGCATCTAAATATGCAACTGGGTTCAGTGTCAGCTTAACTGGGTTCATTGCTGATTTGTTCGTCGCTTCACTTGCCAAATTATTCTCGTTGACAAGCGATTTCTGGTAACACCGTCCGATATGGGTGGTAGCGGGCTTGAAGTCCTCCTGAAGTTCTGAATCTTATCTACACTGTTCCTATATCCTTATCTCAGTCAATCGCAGGCTCTTGTCGAATTATACGACGTTTGTTGCTTTACGACTGTATGTATTCTATTACATTTACAATTTTATGACTTTAGTTTATTGCTAGTTAGGTTTTTTTTACAGAAATTTAGAACTGCTTCTTAGGTTGGGTCACGCCGACGGAAGATGTTTGTCCTCTCCTCGCACTGTGCGCCAAAATCCAAAAGCAATTTGTTAGCATAATGAGGCGATATGCATCAGGGAAATTGAAAATGCATGTGGACAGTTGGGAAAATGTGGAGATGTACCTAGTAATTCACTGAATTTTAATTTTCTAACTGTTTATTAATGAGCTATGTTTCATCAGCTGAGCCCAAGAACTAAAACGTTAACAAATGATTGAGCTGGGTGATCTCATTGTCATATCTCCTATTAACAGCTCAAATTTCTTCAGTGGTCAACGGGTCAAGTAAGTTGGAGGTACGGAGATCTTCTTACCCGCCACCGGTGACCTTCTCACATTTCTCACATTTGTCGAAGTTTTTCGTAGCAGCTTACCTTTAATCGCTCGTGTCCAGCATTCTTCGTACCGTGCATCATAATTGAGCGGATTTCCGGATTCTTGAAAAAAGAATTCCTGCAACACAAAGATATTGACAACATGAAAACTTCTACAGTATTCAGCCATGATGGTGATATTTTTCTCCCACATGTCTTCTTTTGTTTACAAAAATGAAAAAATTTCGTTTAAGAACTGTCTACGGGTTATGTTTTTATAAAAGAAAAAAGCAACTGATAAATACAGCCACAGTCCTAGATTCCTCTGAAAGACATTTGACAAACTTTGGAGAGCTTGTTTTTAAAAGCTTTGTCGATGAAACAAAGAATCTGCCCTAAAACCAATAAATTGGCTTCTTTTTTGTAGTTAACTACGAGCGAGGTTATTCACGAATTCCACATCTAGGCAAACTGGTACCAATAACCGAAAATAATTCATCGACTACCTTCAGTTATTTCTGAATTCTTACGAAGAAAAGGATAAGACTATGACAATTGACTACGTGGTCAGTTCAGATAGTTTTGCCTAGTAGTATGGAGAGAAGCTCACAAATTTAAGATTAATCGGTGAGGAAAATTTTTCCTGTGTAAACAACTCGTTTTCGAACTAGCCGTACCACAAAAATCGTATCTACGCGTTTTGTAAGAGCCGTTGCACAAATTATATTCTCGTTCAGCGACATCAATAGTAGAGATTTAATGCAGTGGCAGTACCACACTATCCTCTTCGTTCGTGATGATCACATCTTTTTCTTCGACCAAGTCCTCAATTTCTTTCTGTCCTTCAAATTATATGGATTTTTACAATCCAAATCAGTTCCAACTACTTTCAGTTAGATTGGTATTTTGTGACACTCCTTTCAGCCAAAATGTTGCTGAGATATTTGCAAAACTCTGGACCGTAGTTGTCTAAGGTGGGGAACAAACGCGCTAAAATCGCTAAAGAAAAATAAGGGCAATAAAAAAGGGCAAAAAATCAAATATCGCTCAAAATATCAAATATCGAAATCAAAAATATCAATATCAAATTACAAAAATATCGCTAAAGAACACCAAACAGATCACATTAGGATAGGTAATGTGCTAGAAAATTCAAGGCTAACCGTGTTAGGAGGCATAACTCTCCAAGACGGTGCGCGCTCGTTATTAGAATTGGGGCCGAGTTTCTCACCATCTGAACCCATTTCTAAGATAACCTTGCGTAGGGTCTTATGTGGTTTACATGAACTTCAAGACAGACTCCGCAAAAAAGCTAGAGATGAAGCGCTAAATAGGTGCGAACAACACCAAGTGGAGGCCCTACCAATAGCACCATTTCCCCCGACGTTCTTTAGACAACAAGAGCCCAATGAATTGATTTTCGGATGTTTGTGAATGAAGCTCTCAAAGTCCTTAATCACTATCGTGCTAAAAGATACAGCTCAAGCCTCACACCAGTGCAAAAACGTGGTATGCGAGAGATGCGATAGCTGATAAGGTTGAAAACCATAAGACTATCCGTTAGTGATAAGGGTGGAGAGTTTGGCGTAATTCCTCATCAGTTAGATGTGGAGATAACGAAAAAGCATCTTGAAGATGCTTCGATTCATCGCCCATCATCTGAGGAGGAATTCAAAAGTAAATACCGAAAACTAAACCACGAATGGGCCAAAATGGCAAGGGCTGCTGGTTTAAAACCATCAGTTATCTCTCAACTTAGAGTTGACTTACCAATATGCTCCGTCTTGTACTCACTTATAAAAACTCATAAGTTAGTATCCAGCGATGATCTTGCGTCTACCGATCCATCACTATTTAAGGTTAGACCTATCATTAGCTGTGTAGACGGGCCAACGGACAGGATAACATGGTTTTTAACCCTAATATTTAACCAGTTGTTGAAACACATTCCAGCCCATCTTACGAATACCCAGATGTTTCTGGATCGTCTACGTACTGCGCAGCCCAACAGCGCGTTCGTGATGGAGTCCCTCGACGTTACCGCCCTTTATACAAACGTGTCGAATGACTCCGCAATGCAAGCCATATTCGAACTCCTTACACAACACAAAAGAGAAATAAACATGTATGGCTTCAGGATAGAGCACCTTATGGCACTCTTAAAAGAATGCTTGAGCTGCTCAATCTTCAGATGGTCTGGANACCGGTGACTGATCTCGGGCCGCTACTTTACTGTAGACGACTGCTTTGTCCTTTGCTCAACACAAGAGGAAATGGACAAATGCTTCGAATTGTTAAACGCACAGTCAGAGTATATCAAGTTCACCCAAGAAAAGCCGAAAGAAAAATGGCTTCCATTTTTGAACGTACAAATTCACCTATCAGAAAATGGCTACATTACAAAATGGTACCGAAAGCCAAGTAGTAAAAACATCTTGGTTCATTACTTCTCCTCTCACCCCTCTCACACAAAAAGGGCGCTTATAAGAAACNTAAGAAACATGTTTCGAACAGCAACTAACGTGTGCACGGGAAGAGAGCAGAGAGAGGAGTCCCGGAACTTGGCACGGCAAATAGCCATTTCTAATGGCTACGAAACTGTAGCTCAGAATAGGTGTAGAGGAAATCGTAGGCCTCCAAACGACAACTCTAGCGATAGAAGGGTTCCGTTTATCCTACCCTTCATCTCAAATGATATAAGTACAGCTATAAAACGCTGCTTAAGAAGGGCGGGCTTAGAGAATTCGGTTAGCGTAGTTGAAATACCACCGAGTAATCTTAAGCGCCAGCTAGTTCGTAACCGCCTATATGACCGTCTATGTGCAACTCAAAATTGCATAATTTGCCCCAGTGGTAGAGACGGTGATTGCATGAGCTCGGGTATAGTTTATCTGATCTCCTGTAAGACGTGCGGTGACGAATACATTGGCGAAACGGGTAGACCCCTCTGTGTCCGCATAAAAGAGCCGGCAAACATAGACCAAATACACCGCTAGGCACGCATAGGACCCAGAGACATAACGGGGACGACTTCGAAGTATGTGTCACGATCCTCGCACGCGAATCAAGAACACAGGCGCAAAAAATTCTCGAGGCATTCTGGATTAATTCCAGAAATCCGAAAATGAACCGCAAGGAAGAATGCCTCATTATCACGCGTGATATAGGGCAGTATATAAGACTGCTATTCTGATGGGAGGGGCACATTATACTTCCATGTGATTTCTGTACGGTTGGTCTCTACGTGACATACTTAGTGGAAACCTCATAGGAAGCGATGAGTGTGCAAGGCTGTGTTCAACGTGATTGAAATCTTGGTTTAGAGTTTCTTTGTTTGGTTATGGAGGCGTCTGGTCTGGTAGATTGCTATCAACTTGACCTTTCCAGGCTCTGAGGAAGGCGAAATCAGCCGAAACGTCAGCTTATTCGTGAATAAGGAATAATAACACCTCGCGTTTGCTCAACAAAAATACGAAGAATTACTTGATCAATGCCGCGGTTAATAGAAAGTCGGTCGTGGGAATAGCGCGTTCGTTTTCCACCTTACACAGCAGAGGTCCAGAGCTTTGCAAATATCTCAGCAACATTGTGGTTGTATTTCGCTTAGTACCGTACCGTGAAAATTGTAGTAGGCAAAAAATAAAAAGTAAAACACTCCTTTCATATTGCGGATAGGGGAGCCTGCTACATCGCCATTTATCAGAGTTAATCGACCATTCGAAGGAATGGCTACCGTGCTGGGAGAATTCTAGTCGCCTGGCTGCTAGCCTTGCTCCAATTAACGAGGGCTATCGATTATCTTCCGTTATGGCCTTGGAGCAAGGTCCCGCAAGCACGGATCTATCGTAACTTAAGGAAAACAGCGCTTAATGCATTCAGTATGTTAATGAGGATAGGCGACATAAAACCTCAGCTATACAAATCCGGCAGTCCGATAGATGGGGGGTGCAAGGCAACGAATCGAATCGGAGTTCCACGGCTCTCACAACATATGAAGATGGGTTAACCAAAAATCTAAGGATGCACTGAGAGTGCACAATACACGTTCATGCACGCGGTCCAATTTGAATACGGATGCATTCCTTTCAACGCATACGATCGATAATGGGTCAGCAAGTAAAACCTTCGGTGGTATTCAGGAGGCTTTTTAGGATTTGCATAGCCGATTTCCAAATTCGTGGATCCATTATTGGATTCTTATTGCTGTTTTGCTCTGACATTCCAAAAGAGCTCCTTGTCTATGCATTTATTGCATCTATTTGAAGTTTTCTTTATATATCCTAATACCGTAAGATAATGTTGCTGGAGTTATTGTTAAATAAAAAAGTAGAAGATCTTCACTTTAGATATGTGTCTACAATAAAGAATATGCAGTTGAGATAGTTGAGAGGTCATCATTTAGCTCAACTGCTTGGTACAATATTTAGCCAAAAATTCGTGGAGTTCAAAAAAACTAGTCGATATATCGAAAGCGGACCAATACACTCGAGAACATATCAGCATATTCGAAAACTTCCAAAATAGGAATGTTAGACATACCTGAATATACTTATTGCGGGCTCAAGAGCACCGTGATTTCTAGCATGTGCCCAGGTTTTTCGTATGAAGAGTATCTGAGCTGAGGTCAGAGATAATGACGATGACACCAGAGGAGGATCCAATCCCGGTAAAGCTGCAAATAATTCCATTTTAGAGCGTGTAACGAAAAAGAGCGAGATTCCTATAACTTATGGATATTTTTTGTTGTCTAGTCCGACAATCTTAATCAAAGTCACTCAAAAATATTTGGAAACCATGATTGAACAATCGAGACGTAGATGACATAGGCGTATTTCATCATGGTTCCTTGTAAATACGTCGACACTTATGAAATTTTAAGTGAAGCGTTAAGCAAAAGGTGCGTTCTTCCTACAGCATCTCCCAAGCTGAGGAGTCCGACGTTTACATCCGGAAGCCTAACTAAGAGTGAACGAATACCAATCACCGCCGTCCTAGTATCGAATTAATCGCAAGATGGCAAATCTTCCTCGGATCTACAAGGGCCGGCGACTGCTTGAAGCAGTGACGTAACGAAGGCTGTAGTGAGGCTGACCTCAGGAGTCCATGGAACCACAGTGGCTAAATCAGCATCTCCAACCAAATGGAAATTATGACGAGGCCCGCACAACCAGTGATTACGGGCTACCCAAGTATCCGAGTAGTAACTATTTTATTTTACAGGACCCATCTTCGTATCTAGTGCGTAGATCACAGCACTTCTTGCATTCTATTCGTTTTCTCTCACCCATCATCCACGAAGTTCCTCGAGCTTTCCACATGTGAGTTCGGGTGCTGCTTAGGGATTGTTGTTTTCTTCATGAATGTCTTTGAATGCTGGTCCAGTCGATTCTTCCTGAAGTCCCGGCATAACCAGACTGCCTAGTTGGATTGTAGAGAGTGGATTGTTTTTACAAAAAAGATGAAAGGTTTGGTGAACCCAACACGGAGTCGAACCAGCACCGTGCCCGTGATTAACGGCACCACTACCACTGCTTCGGGCGGGCTTCTTTCGACGGATTTTGCTTTTATGAGAGTTGTCTTTCCTTCATTCTTGTCAAGTTCTTAGGAAATAAGAATATCCTCACGGTGAGTCGACATAAAGGATAAAAAAATAAAGTTCTCGGCGTTGATCAATCACTGAGGCATGGGCCATGCATTTGACTTCATTAGACACCGTTGGAGGTGATTGAATGCATATCTGGCCTTCACTCGACTGTACTCGCGGTAGCCTACCGATGTATTGAGCCAGTACTGCTATCCTTCCAGACAAGTCTGGTACCAATTTGCCGACCCCGGAGGTATGGAAAGCTTGTTGGGCCATGGGCGCAGAAATCGATTCCACGTGTGTGTGTCGCAGTGGCTCCTCCAACCACTGCGCCACACGCGCCCCTAAGAGTCGACATGAGAGGAGAAATGGGAAAAAATACCGTGAACGAAGGTCAGACCAAGCCCTTTTATCTAAAAAATGGTGTTAGACTTATGTTAGGGATGATTAAAAAAAACACTGGCTCGATACATCGGTGAACTCCTATTAATAGCTGCATAGGTGAGACATGCATCCAACCACCTCTATAATGCTTTGAATGGAGCACAGCGCTTCCTTAAGAAATTGATCAAGGCGCAACTCTTTAAAAACGTGTTAATTTAACAAAGGACCAGTAACTTATTGCTTCATGCTGTTTATTTCAGAATCAATCTTGAAGCTAGGATTGAACAAACGATGTTAGATGGATGCGGTTATTATTGTATGTTGAAGAGTCCCAAACCGTTTGAACTATTAGAAATAGTTTTCTCTTTGGACAGTTGTGTTCGTATCGAAGCCGCACCGGCCACTTTCCCACTCTTTGTCGACGAACTTTTCACAGCTGCTAAAAATCAGTGTGAAGTTGATAAATACAAATTAATTTCATGGATTTTGTATTCTCATACATTAAATCGCGATTAAATTATATCGCTTTAAAACTACATATTTATAAGCTATTACAGCTTACGTTTTTCTGAAAATTGAACTGCTGAAGCTGATTTACTACTGAGAGCAGTGTCCTTCTCCATTTTATGACCTTTAACTCCTGAACTGTGTGTTCGGCAAACTGTTAACCTGAATGTTTAGGCGGATAAGCATAAGCTTTACTCTTCTGGCTTTTATCCTGTTCTACAAAACCACGCAAGCTTAAAAGTAGTCGACCTGCCTGACTTTTTACTGCAGCTTTCAATCACACCTTTCTGATAGGATTACGGTAGCTATTTATGAGAATTCGCGCGGATTCAGTTGTGACTAGTCAACAAGTTGCAAAACATTGGTACAGAAATATCATCTAATCAGTCAATAGAAGTTTGTTCATTTAGGAATTTTTTTGTACTGGCTGGCAATTTTCATATAATCACTTTACGATCATTTTCGAGAACTTCCGGAGACGGAAATTCGAACCAACATTTCCTTTAGAGAAGAACTGAGAAAAGTACTTATTCAAACCCCTTCCATCAAAAGTCATGATCTTTCTCTTTATTGTCTAAGAGTAAAATTTGATTGAATGTAACAACTTTTTTTCACTGCTGGGAATACTCTTGAAATTTTCGTTCACTTCATCTTCATTACTGTCGTTATGGTGAACAATATGCTTCACACTAAGTATTACCCTAGAAACAGCTTTTTTACCTTGTTATTAAGCAAATAAATTAAAATCATTCTTACAGAGTTCGAGGCGTGGTGGCGTCAATGTAACTAGATGCACGACTCCTCGACAACGGCGAATCGTCAGACGAGTTTTCCTTGGTGTCGTCTGAAAAAGCTTACTGTAGGAAAGTTAGATGCAAGTTGTGAGTCAGAATAACCGAGAAAACTATTTAAAGCTGCAACAGAGAGGCATACTGGACTATTACTACTGGATTAATGCGTTGGGCAGTGTAAGATATATTTCAGTGGTGATCAACCAAATTCACTAATAAATAGAATCATTGAGGCTCGTTCACAAAGCCAACACCTGCACACCTGAAGTAGACCGCTTAATGCAGAAACATTTATAATTTACAGCGACTGCAAATAAGCGATGGAACAACGTTAGGCTAACCAAGTCCTTTATCTCTCTGAGGTTGGCAAGTTGCTACCAGACTGGTCCGGTAAGATAAAAACACTGGCGTGATAATTGGGTACGTCCCGGAACTCATTGTATAGACCAAATATATATTTAATCACCTTTACAATGCTACGAATGGAGTTAAATGTATGAGGCATCCCTCGGGAACTGATTAACGCCAAACGCTCTTCAAAGAAGTAAATAAATAAACAAACGTAGTATAATCAAAGTCTGTTTCTTCAATAGGAATAGAGAAATCTGTACCATTTTTTTTATCCTTCATGTGAAAAATTACACCTCTAAATTTCAAAAAAAGACATTTTTCCCAATGAACGAGAATTTAAAGTAAAACTATGTTTATTAGCACTAAGTGGACCCAGATTCACCTCCATCTCCTCTAATCCCATAAATTACCATGTGAAACCAAGCGAGTGGGCATCATTCATCCGTGCAACATGGAGAAGTTGCCAATAAAATGCCACTCAGTGGAACAAACGTGAACTGCACCATGTCTCTTTTTATCTAGAAACTTTATCTCTGGAAATTTTGGAAAAGGGAACGAGTAGCGCAGTGCCTGTTCATTATGAGCGCGGTGTTAGTTCGACTCCGCCCGTGCTCATCGAGTCTTTCCCCTGTCCGGGTTGACAAATCGATACCAGACTTATCTAAGAACAGTTCACTTCCTACAATCAAGTGGGAAAGCTCTAGGCCAGCTATCGCAGAGCTCCATGTAGATTCGACTCGATCAGTGTTCAACAATATTCATAAGAAAGACGACAAGTTTCAGACAGCAGTCGAAGTCAAACGCTCAATGTTCTAAGATATTCGAAGGTGGTGGATGGGAAGAAACGAATGAATAATATAAATTTCGAAAACTGTACAGTAGAGGTAAAGACAGGTAGTGCAAAGATTTTGGAGAAAACGTGGCTATTTGTGTTCTCACACCTTCGGTAATTGATCGGCTGGTAAAGCAAGGCGTTTCTACGATATTAGAGGAAACACGACTTAAGTTTCAGTGTAGAAGTTATAAGAATAGGCAGAATTTAATGCAGACGCCACCAAGCACAAATACTCTTGCAAAAAATCGCCCTCAATTGATTTGTGCTAACATAGGGACGTTTCGTACGTTATGTGACGGGAAATCGTAAAAACGACAACACAGACAATAAACGTGCAATTTTCAAGCAATAAGGGCATTTATTTTCTTAGATATTTCTTCTCATATTGGACAAGAAAGACACATAAGGCGGAGATTGGCTGGCATGAGATAAGTACCTGCGAAAGCTCTACCACAGATTTCAAGACACCAAGGATAATCTTGCCCAACTAGAAAATTATCAGTCCAACACAAAATTGTCTTAGACCCGAACTATTTCCAGTGATTCCTAAAAGCGGCCCATTCGTCTGCGTAAGCAGGTACTCAGTGTAGGTTGGAGGATTCTCTGGTGAAACTGATTGGATTGCGAGAGAATCTACTTGGAATTTTAGGATGATCCGATTTTTTCTGAGGAACGGAAAATCTTCACCGAGTATGATAACGTGTGTTATGATTTTGTTTCGCTTTAAGACATTGAATACAATCATTCGTAAGAACGTGCGCGTATACGATTCATTACAGTCGTCAATACAAAGACCTTCATACTTTTACTGTTACTTGTTCAGGGAGATGAAATGGTCCTTATATACATACAGTGATTAATGACCATAGCTATAGACATGGTAGAGATATAAGAGGAAAGGAGGTGGTTTACACTGCTCGGAATAAATGAACTAAAAGAAGGAGAGGCTCATGACTGACTGCGGCATTCACCAACATTAGAGGTGAAGACTTGGCATTCCTATCATCTTTAAGTACAGTCTTGTCACCGAACACAATAGACATCTCAATATATGCATAATATCTCTGAGTCAATTTAGACGTCAATCACTCGATACGATAGGGCAACGACATAACCTGTTAGAACAACATCTGTACGTCACCGAAGTTAACGAAATCGGTGAACCGGTGGTGACGACGTCCAGAGAAAAATGGGAAATGATCTTTCACAGAATTAAATTAATACGGTCGACACAACGAGGACACACTGTATAATTCCTGGAAGGTTCAATATTTAGAAATGAGGAAGAAAAAATATCACATAAAATTTTCGAATAAGCAAGTTGACTGATTCAGAAGCGACTAGGGGATTTTATGGTAGCGAAACATGGATCGCTCGCAAATATAATGAGAAGAACAGACGATATATGGAAGAAAAAAACCGTAGGGAGGCTTCGGAGTCCATGTGGATGCAAACGTCCGCTGGAAAGACAGCCTACACGACATACGTACACCATGTAATTAAAGTCAATCAGCTGTACTCACAGGCATAGTTGTTTACGGATCATGGAATGGTATTCATACACGTCAACGTAGTCGAAGGAGACTAACACCATGGGCGACGATCGCAAGGGAAAGAAACCAGTGGATAATGTACTGCGGTCCGTAGAGCTCGTGAAAACGAGCCGTCCAACTAATCAAAAGGGAAAGCAAGTGTTGTGGCATCAGTAAAGTCACGACGACACGCAACTGCCGACGTCACTGACTTCCTCGCTAACTTTGAATGCTTCAGAATAGTTGACTTGCAGTTCTGTTTACGAATCGGTGGTCCGTAGATAAAATCAAACCTAGTTGATATAAATGCTGGCATGGCACTGACACGGTCAACAATGACACTTTAAATGTTCATCGACATATATATGCTCGCTTAAAGTAAATGTTTCGCTTGATGAAATTTAAAGTGTGACAATTATCGATACTCTTCCAAATTTGTCGTACTACACCCAAACGGCAGCACACAATTAATCAGAGACCGTACTCCGACTGTGTGCTGTTTTAAACTACGTAAGCTAGATGTTTAATTTGAGTACTTCAGATCGACATTATTGTAGAATGTGGAAGCTCTAAAGGCAAAGAGCACTAGTGTAAGCAACCGATTATTGAGTTAATATGAAAGAAAAAATAACCTAAAATCACGAGATAAATTTACTGGAAACTCAAGAGCTAAAGGAGATAAATAAATTTAAAGAGGAGAAGAAAGGACTCCGGAGAGCTAGTTTAGTAGTGGACTGAAGCTTTCACAGAAAAAATTTATTCACTTGTTTTGCATCGTCCGTGTTTCACACAGTTTTCTGAGCTTGCAGGGGTGAGAGAGTTTGTGAGCCTGGGGCTCGCTCGAACATGGAACTAATAATAAAACTTTAGAAAAATAATCATTTCGAAAAAAAGTGATGTAAAGGGCTAGCAAGGTCAAATCACTTAGAAATGCTCTTTAACTACCGTCATCATTTTCTGTAAATCAGAGAGATTACTTGGCGATATTCTTAAAGTGATATCATCACTATTTGTTTTGTGGTCTCCTACGCTGCACTGCCGAGTCAAGTTACCTCATTCTTGAGGTGTTCCGCTCGACTGGATTTGAATCGTGCGATTACGACTACCCAAATAAAAGGAAACGATTGCTGTGGAGATTTGGCTCGAGCCACCGCAACTATGAATGTCGCCATACCATCGAAACGATATCGAGAGTAGAGAGATTTTGTTCAAGACGTTGTCTAAGCCCCTGAGTACAAGAAAGATGTTGTCACCATTTATAAATAATATACTTGTACTAGTCAATTGACTACTGAATGGGTCCGCTTCACGAAGAATTGACACAATTTTATCCGTACTATTCTAGTAGCTCGAGATACGATTGTTTAATCGGTTCCAGTGGTACTGTGCTGGCCTGCGCGCAGGATGCTACCCATCCGTCCGAGTTCGGAATTCAGGTGGTAATGTCCTAGGTCGGCTAATCCAAAATTCCAAAAAAAATCGACTCGACCAGCACCCATTGGAAGCCGACACCAGTAGCCGAATCGACACGCAAAAAGTTGGACGGCCTTCGTGGCTGATTCATGCGAGAAAGTGGATGGAACGCGGGAAGTGTTGGGATCTGCACGAAAGATGTGAAGATGAGTCATGTAAAATGAACACGAGAAATTCATCAGACTTGTCTAGGAATGTAGGTCACCGAATTGATGCATCGACAAGATGTAAATTTGTTGCATAGGCCAAATATGCCTTTTTTACCTCTCGACGTTATGAAGGCAGTCGAATGCCTGGTTATTCCTCAATGGCTAATGAGTGCTGGTCGCTTTACTCTTCGTAAAATAGTACTAAAGTAACTGTGGCTTCAAACCACAAATTTCAATCATTAAAAGGCTAGGCTCGAACTATATTTTCTGAGTAACATAAAGAACCATAGAAATAGTAAGATTTCTATTAACAAATTAATTTTGTTTATTCCGGTGACTTGGAGTTTTTATGTTTTTGGAGCTACGATTTTTACGAAGGCATTTTCATCACTGGCTCTGTCGCTGAAGATTTTTCCACATAACAGTTATCGAGATAATTAAAAAAATTACTGGTGCTTAACGGAAGTTTAATTGAATACGATGGAAGAGGCAAAACTTCGTAGCCTAACTTCTTCAACTTCTGAAACGCAAGTTTGTGCGACGTTTGGTTGAAGCCGTCGCCGTGGAACCGAATTATCTTAGAACACGTAGATGCTCTGATGGTTCGACCACAATTATAGTAGACGATTCTTTTCTTTTCCTAGTTCTAGTTAGGCCACTAAAGAGTTATCATGAGTTTTTTTTCATTCAATTTCAGCTTCGTAAAATGTTTAACAGCTTCATTCAGGTTCATCCACTGTACTGAATGCCACTCGTTTCCGGATCGACGTTTCGTCTCACCTCTTAATGTGACTGAGAAGTGGTCGTTTTTATTTGTTTTAAAGAGCCCAAAAGGGGCTACATAACGGCTAAACGCCTACGGAGCATTTCTCGTTCCGGAAACGTAGATTTTTAGAAAGCAGAAAAAATTTTGTTCCACTGAGAAAATGAGCTTTAATCATGCCATGAAAACGTGTGGATTTTAATAAATCCTATTTTGATCGAGGATCTTGCATTTCTGGATGGTTGTAATAATCTAACTGGTATAAAACCACAACCACTTTTAGACCAATCTTATTTGAACGTTCAAATTTTAAACAACGCTCTCAAATCGTAATTACTACAGTGCTTCATGGATCTATGAAAATTTGTTGATTAGGAGACTACGATTATCTCCTGTCTAAGTGGTCCACTCCCATTTTTAGTAGATTTACTTACTTTATAGCACATTTGAGATGTTTCAATTCGAAATCCAATAAAGTGCATGAATAAATGAATTTTTAAAAATATCGCGTCTTGGTACCAGACTTGTCTGGAACGGTAGCAGCATTGGCTCGGTCCATCGGTGGGACACCGCGAGTCATTGTAAAGGCCAGATATGCATTCAATCACCTAATCACTCCAATGATACTTAACGAAGTCGAATGCATGGCGCATATCTCAGGGATTGATCAACACTTATTGTCCTTTATCGCGTCTTGAGAGTTCGATTCTTGCAAAGATGTTGGTTTCTGATTTGGTAAGGTTAATAGGGGTAATAAGTATAAGCTACAATTACCTCTAGTAAGAGTATCAAACTGTTGATCGGATGCTGAAGAGAATGATTCGCTTGGAGAAACTTTTGCGACGACGTCGCAACTGTTGCCTGAACATCAATAACTGTTGTTATCGGATTAAGGTTTAAGAAATGTGCCGTGTAGTGCGATAACTTAAAAAGGAGCTAAAACACCTAACTAGTCTGAATTACATAGCTCTTTCATTACGGCTGATACTCTATCGATATACTCAATACTTGCTGGAAGGTGACTACTAGACAAAATATTTAACAAAAAAAGGCCCAAAATAATCCCTAAATATTCGAAAATTGTTGAAGATTTGTCCAGGTGTATTGGTCACTTTAAAACAATGTACGTCACTAGAACGAAAGCGAATTTGACTGCAGGTAGAGCGTAACTCATCGCAAGGCGGTGCACAGGAGATTAAACACGGAGCAAACGTGAACATATGTGAAACGTGAACCCAGGAGGGAAGGTGGATCTGAAAGGACGAATTTGCTGCAACTGCTGTTCGAATTGATGTATGTACATAATCCACACAACGACGCATAGTGTGCATGAATATATAAGCATTATGTCCTGCACATTTGGCTAACAGCCGCGCAATAAAATGGTTGAGAAGTAAATGGGGTAGTCGGGCTCGAAGCCGTTACCCACAAATAGGCTTAAAGTTTAATGAGGGAAAAGTTGACATGCGGCCCATGGGTATATTGAGCAAATTTCCTTGCTGAAATTTAACCTAGTGCTTGGAAATCCATTGGCGAACAGAACTTATTTATTTGATGTTTAAGCAACATCGTCTCTCTAAGTTGATATCTTGGCAGCATTCAAGTTATTAAAAAGCGATCTTTTAAGCCTATTTTTTGAAGATTACCGCACCGTCTAAATAAGGTAACCTTTGGGCAGTTAATATGTGAAGCAGTGAACCTTTGCAGTACTTAGGAAGTCGTTAGTTCGACCCCGCCTGGTGAGCTGGTAAAGTTCCCCATTCCTCCGGAGTCAGCAGTTTGATAGCAAATTTGTTCGAAAGGATGGAAAGATTGGCTTGATAAGTCCGTAGTCAATAGCAAATCTAATATTGTATAAGCTAAATATGCATTCAATCACCTCAACGATACCTAATGAGACCGAATGCACAGCGCATTCCTAAGGGATTGACCAGCGCCGAAAACTCTTTCGTTTATCCTTCAATCTCTCCCTACCATTGATTATTTTATCAGGATCGCTAGGTCTCCTCACTTAGTACGTAAAGGAAAATACTCCATAGGATTAATGCACTCTCTTATCTACGCCTTTCTCACCTTTTTTCTTTTCTCTTGTTTCTTTTTCTGTTAGACGAAATAATACTGAAATCATTGTGGGCTCAACGCACTTTTTCTCGGCAATCGCAATGATGGTAATGCGCTAATGGATCGTCGTATATGAGGTTCCTCGATGTGAATGAGCGTCTGTTGCGATTTCGATTCGATCACTCGCCCATGTCCTGCCGGCTTTCCAGAATGGTTTCCCATTTCAAACCAACGTTACTGTTCACACGAGATCGTTAACGTATTCTAAAGAGAGTATTTCATCCTACGAAAAACTCGCTAAGATTGATTAGAAAAGAAAAGCATACGGGAAAAAAGCGAGCTGAAAAGATGATAATAACTAGTCGTGTGAGTGAGGGCCGTTACATTGCAAACAATAGCCCGATCTTCTATCTTCACTGTTGATTTAGAGTTGCGTAGGATGAAAAGTAGTAGTCAGAAAAGGAAGCACTTTTCAGAATTGACGAAGAAAAACGTCAAAAAAGAAAATAGCGGGTTACATGTGGAGAAGAACCACTAAGATTCGGAATACTTGATAAATAATTTTAGCGTTCTCATGAACGAAATGCAGTGCCTAAAAAACAGCATCAGTGAATCAATCAATATTAGATATAAAATGGACAGCGATTTGTTAAGGACTAGGCTACTTTGTGGGTGGTGGGAAGCACAGAAGAAAAAGTATAATAGAAGGCGAAGAGTTTCATCTTGATTAAGACCAAAGCATTATCGCAGTTCACAAAATGTTTAGCAACAACACTATAGAAGCAATTCGTTTAGTATTTTAATTCCTTGCAAAAACTTTATTTTCACCACAATTACTGATCGATAGAACAAGCTGAGATACAGGTGAAACGAAGGACCCGCATGGTGTGGTGGTGAACGCGTTACTACCCCGAAAGGACAATAAAGCGTTCGTTCCCTACCACAGACACCTGCGGTCCGGAGTTTTGCAAATATCTGAAAACCGTTGTGGTTATATCACACATAATACCTCGCCGTAAAAACTGTAATAGGCAGTAAATGAAAAAGTTAACATAATTACTTGTTTTCTAGAAGAACATTCTGTCGAGAGTCCAACGTTTTACAGCATCAACTTACTAGACAGTCTCCGAAACTCTATATTATCATAGAAACAGAAAAAAATCGACAGCTAGATAAGAATTCACCGATAATTAAGAAGCGTAGTATTTTTCAATAGGACGCTTAATTCACTAGAAATAAATTCTCCTGCACTCGTGCAAATAATCGACCATCTCTAACGAGCACCATTAAAGTCTCCATTTGTCATTTTGTCATTCAAGAAAGCTTTCCAGTGTGTTACGGGCATAATCACGTTTAAGCCTTTCCGCTATCGAATGTGTGACCATTCTATTGAAGAGGACCAAGAATCGACTTCTCTATTACCTTCGAGTCAATTCACACGCACGAAAATGACTACTTGTATACGTTAAATGTAATTCAAAATTTATTTGTAGTTTAGAGATTGTATTTGGACAAATTTTATTAATAGTACTAAATAAAATAAATGAAATCAAATAAATGAACGCCCGCCGTTGTCAGTAATTTCTGTGTAAGAAGTGGAATTAATTCTGTTTGTCACATCGTTATCCAGCGTAGTTGGTCGACTAGTCGCCGGACATTCGCTGCCGTCATAAGAATCGCTTTGCTTTCGAACAATCTGATTCGTAAGGCAGAGAGCTTTCTTACGATGCACAATGGATGGTGAGGTTTACGGTAAAGACTTGCTAAAGACCTGAAATCGCTGTAGCACAACTATGTGTAGGAATTTGATAGAAAGGAACTATTCATTAGCGTTCGCCACTTTAAGTTTGAGAGAAAATGACAGATAATCTGGACTCCTACGGATCCATACATAGACCCGAAAACTTGTGCATGGACGACAGTATCAAAATAAGGAAACGGATAAAAAAAATTGCAGCAAGCGGCACGACATGGAAGGCTGTGTTGCTCAGGAAGGTATCTAAAACAGAAGTGGAAGTGAAGCGAAGAAGCATAGTATTAACACTCCAGCGACGAGTGACAGCTATAGGAGTTATAATGGCATTGAGGTAGTGGTCGGTATGACGCTTACAGGTGTCATTTTATTTCCGTTGGTTTACATTTTGATATTTGATGCACAGAAATTCTTTCTTAGACTTCCTAGATCGGCAGCCCATCCAGCGCTGATGTTATGGTGGGCGTGGTCCATAGAAAGATGTCTTCTTAATAATTTCTGAACAATTTCTCATTTCGCGACGAAGAAATATTGCATTTGAAGGCAGAGGCCGGCTTAGAGAGTGTGGCCACTGTAGATGAGCAGAAATATCTTCTCCTCGATGAGCTGGCAGAAAGATGCAGTTTGCAGCACCTTTTTTGGTAATTGTTGTTTTCCCTTTTTTGGTTGCTATGATAAATTCTCGGTAATGTTTGGAAAGGGAGGATATCGAAACAAAAATGTAAGCATCGTTATATTCTTTGTGGAACTTATACAACTTCATTAAAAGGTGACGGCAGTATCGTTGCATAGTGGACGAGTGTTCTTCATAAGCAGGAATTGTATATGTACCAAAAACATGGAAAGGTGTGAAGAAGAATATGGAGGATGCATAGGATAAGAGAAGTGCAGATATCCTTTCAATACACAGAGAAAAACCGATATATGGAAAGCGAATTATAAAAAACAGGCGAGGCTACATAGAGATTGCACTGTAACATCTATCGGTGTAGCAGTGAGCGGAGCGAAAAATTAGGTGCCGTCCACTTCACAAAAGCGCGAAATCAGTCGTCGTAGCGAGAGTTTTAAAGATCGATGTAACTTGGTGAGCACAGATTAATAAGTGCGGAAAAATACTTAATTGACCAAGCCCTTGTTGGTCGCTTGTTTCTGCGGTAGAGTAGTTCTTCTAGTGAACTGGCCCAGCGTTGTGTGCTGTGTGCACCTTAGCACATCATTGACAAAATTGCAAAGTTTGCTAGTCCGGCTACCAAAGTTAACTAGGGCACTCAGGTCCTAGTCCTAATCCTAGTCGTGCGTTGCTCTATTGTGACCTGTTGAAGAACTTTACCGACTTCAAATAATTCTGGCCAGTTTTCGTAACTTTCTCGCTAAACATTCTTTCAATTTTCCTGAAAAATCGATATTTCTGCCTAACTAGAGCTTTTGAAGCTTTTTAGAACTAAACAATTCCAATCAAAGGCAGTAAAACTTGGGCACTTTTTTAGGAAAAACACTCGGGCTTGTTATAAGAAAACTAAGTGTGCAACTGGAATCGCTAGAGATTATGAACGGTATTTTGGAGTCATTAGGATTCTGTGACAACAAAATGTGTCAAAGAATTGCTTTTTATAACATGTAAAAGAGTGTCGAAACATTTGTACATAGTAGTGTAACGCACTGGTAGAGCGAATCGTTTCTTAAGTGAGAACATTTAAAAATTTTTTATGTATTACTATGAAGACGAATGGAGATGGTCGGAAACCTTAGAGAAACCGGGCCCAATCACCACATTAATGTCTGAAAGACGCCCCGTCAGCTGAAGTCCAAGTTGTTGTCCTTCGGACTTCTTCTTGACCGATGGCAGCTCATCAAATATCTCAATAACCAGAAATACGAACTGATGAATGATTTCTTAAACCGATCGCCATTTAACCCTGGCGTTGCTAATCAGCAACTTTTGGATTATCAAGCTAACGCAGGGTTGATAAAAAGCTCTAAGGAAGACGAAGACGTCGAAACGTTAGCCGAATAAACCTTTTTGTCAACCTCGTATTAGCTTAATAACCAACCCAGAATTATATTAACAAATGATTATTTTTGTTTCGAAATACTACTGAGAACGAGTTTTAACATTAATGAGAAATAAAAGGCCACAACACAATTGATTATAACATTTTAGTTCTCGAAGAAAAAAAATCATACAAGGTTGAGGATCTGCTAAAGCTAAATTTCATAACAGCAAAATATTTGTGTAGAGGATTCGAAAAAAGAATACATAATTCCCAAACGAACTAAACGACTAAAATACATTCCTCAAATGAGCGCGAAGTTTTTCCCGAATTTTCATAAAACTAGCTGTTACATATACTTGTAATTAAATTCTTGAATGGCCCGTCCTTGCTGGTTGTGCGGGCCCCAACATAATCTCCATTTTTCGAAGATTTGCTGATTACGCCATTGTGGTTTCCTGGAATCCCGTGGTCAGCCTGGCTAAAGTCTGCCCCAGGTCGTCATAACCACAGGCAGTCGCCGCCCTTGTGGACCAGAAGGAGATTTGCCACCATGCACCTTTGACATCAAGACGGTGGTGGACCCTGGTATTGGTTTACTTTTAGCTAGGCTTCCTGATGGAAACGGTGGACTCCTTCCCAGCTTGAGAGACCCTGCCACGTGGATGAATCACCGCTGTACATGGTAGCCAGACACCCAGGAACACCTACCAACCACGATGAGGCGGTAAATTGTTGGGAAGAGCTGCAATATATATATATATATATACATATATGCATTTATTAGGCAAAGACAGCCCAGTGGTTATTGATGCAATTCATCAGGAAGCAAGATGCTGGCCCGAGCCCCTTTCCAACGCCCTCCTCCAATCAACGTGCGATGGCCTTAGCTCAGCTCTCTCCAAGATTGTAAATAGAACCGACTTGACCAGCATTCTACAATACTCAGAAAGAAGATGAAATCGTCAACCAGCATCCGAAACAACATGCGAAATGTTGAAAGAGCATAGTGAACGATGAATGCGTGGAAAGCGATTCTAATGCCAGAAGTGCTGGGATCCGCACGGCAGATGTGATGACGGGTGATGCATATGTAGAAGAAAAGTACTTTTGTAAAAAAAAGTTGTCGACTGAAGATTGCCTTTAGAGTATTGGAACAATGCTAGATGACGGTATCAAAGCACAAGAAGAAACGTTGCAGTGGATATTTCTTTTGATAGAAATAGCTGAGAGACAGGCGAAACAAAAGACCCGCATGGTGTGGTGGTGAACGCGTTACTCCCCGGAAAGGACAATAGCGCGTTCGTTCCCCACCATAGACACCTGCGGTCCAGAGTTTTGCAAATATCTCAGCAACGTTGTGGTTGTATTTCGCTTAGTGCCCTGCAGCGAAATTATAATAGGCGGAAAATAAAAAGGTATAACATAATAATAGTACAATTTTATTTTTTTTTCTACATGACCGTTCTCATATCTAC